CTACTACTACTGGTACGACGACTCCTGCGGCGACGGCTTCCCTACTGCCACTACAACTACGGGCTACCTACTACCTACTGCCTGCTACCTACTAGCTACTACGACGAGGATGATTGACTATTACTATCAATACTGCAGCTCCTGCTGCCACTGCCACCTACGACGCGCCCGGTTTCATTTTGCGGCGAAGGTTGGTGTGTTTTCACGGGGCGCGTAGCATGAAGCCTAAGAATGTGTGTCAAGTGCAGTGCTTTCGAGGGTTTCGTCGGCCTCTGGGGCCGTTGGTTTTCAAATCTTCGCTGCTCTCCAAAAACCTCAAAATACGCGGCAGGAGCGGTGCAAGCAAAAGTGTCGTTGCGTTGGCCGACGACTTTTGTGCTACTGTTCTTTCCCTTGCCACAGAGCTCCCTCTCCGCCCCATCTGTGTTCAGGATCTTGCAGGGTTTCCATGCTAGACCCTTTGTCTTGACTGAGGAGCGTTTTCAGCCGGGCACAGAGGATCCAGCCTCAGATGAGGCAAGTTAGTAGTTAGCTGCCCAAGACAGCGACATGAAGAGTGCTGTAGATGCCTATGAACTCAGAGTTCTGTAGCCGCTAGTTCCGTGTCGATCCCATGAAGCTAGGGTGGTCTTTCTGCAAGGGGCCGCTGTGGTTGTTGAAGGGTTAGGGCGCAAGCAACGTGTACAGATAAAGCACACGGCAGCAACACAAACACACGACAACTCAGCGTGAGTCATTCTAGTAACCTAGTAAGATGCTGAGACGCTTCATCCCAGCAGCGATGGCGACAGCAACAGAAGCAGTAGCAGCGAATGCAACGATGCTGATGCTGATACTGGTTACTTGCAACTGGTGGTGGCGACTGTACCTATGAGGGTTCCGACAATGTCACTGGAGCAGCTAAATCCTTTACTTCAAGCTCTCAGTATGGTGAATTGCAAACAAGAACTTACCTCGAGGATGAAACAAAAAGCACCACATCCCCCAAGCCCTAGGATCAGGACTTTGCCAGAGCACTATACCTGGACGCACCAACCCCGAAAGAGGCAGTCCTTGGGCTGGCCGCGCTCTCTGCCTTGGGGCTGCTTGTGGAGCCTTGGCTTCGCCCACGGCATGTCTGCTCGTAGGGTAGCCCTTGCTAGAGAGTACCTCGCGAAAATTCCCAATAACATGAGTCACTTCCTGTCTTGAGCCGGCAGTCGTACTCACTGATAGCTGATAGCACTCCCTGCTCGCCCTCAGTCATCGGTTAATCACCATGTTCGAAGGACTCAGTCACGGTCATGACAGAGTATTGGGGCGTTGGGCAAGCCGCCGACTTGACACTTCCAATGATCCAAGGACTGTGGCCAGCGCCACGTGCAGAAGAAAGGCTGAAGGAAAAAACCGCGATGCCATCTGCTTGTCGCCGCTAAACATCTGTCGTTCAGCTTGTGCTGTCGCCTCGCGCAACTAGCGTTCTGCCCATCACTTCGGCTTGCGTAGGTTGTTTTGCGATCAGCAGCAGCTAATTCCAGTGTTGCAGTCGGGACCCAAGCGCTCATTGTCGGCCAAACTCTGAAGATGACGTGATTGCAGTTGGTAGCCTGAGCATTGAGGACATCACTCACCGCGTCCCCTTCGACGAAGTAGCGAAGAAGGCATCCCTTCTTGGGCGGGTTCATGCGTGCCTCATCCTCATCCTAGACAGCACAGCCTGGCCAGATCTGCATAAAGGAAGAAGGACGCCCCGAGAGTCCTTGAGCTAGCACCCATCTTTCCTGGCACAAGCCTTGGCAGGAAATCGCAGGTGTTTCTGGGCTGGTAGGCTGCAGGGGATCTAGGAATCTAGGACTTGTTCAGTTCGCTGCCGAGAGCCCGGTGTTGGGGGCCGGTTCTCGTCTTCAGCCTGAGCCTTGAAGGTTGCAAGCGGTTCTATCCTTTCTCTCGTACCGCCCGCGGCCAAGCTGGGGCCAAGAAGCCCCGTCGAGGGAAGGAAGGAAGGAAGAGTGAGTGAACGCCCCTTCATTTGCGTGTTGCCTGGTCAGTCTCTTACTCATTGGCGCACGTGACAAGCGGTCGCGCACAGGCGCGAGGCGAGGGGTCTCACGCCTTCTCCCAGCCCTGGCGAAAGAAAGAAAGAGAGTGAGTCACATGCACGTGACCTGCAAGAAACAGTCCAGAGAGCCAAGGAATAGCATCATGGAGCAGGCCAGTGCTCTCTTGCTGAGACTGTTGATGCTCTCGGCACCGATCCGATCCTCATGCTGCCGCTTGTCAGGCAAGCTTCGAAGAGTACAACAAGTGCCCTAGTTCAAGCCTGCGTGCTGCCTGCGTGTCTGGTAACCATCGATGCAGAGAGCAGCACTTGCCTTCAAAAGTTGCAGCCACGTGTTGCCTGACCTTGGGTTTGAGAGCAGCGTGGTGAGGTACTTCCGCGCGAAGAGTAGGGCAGGAGTGGCCAGACTCGATGGTTCATTGGCCTTGTATGTCATGCCCTGCGGCGAGGACGCTTCCTGATGTTTGTTGCTGGTACTGTGGTAGCTTGAAGAGGGAGTTTAGACCGAAAGCCGCCCGAATTGAATATTTCCACTACTGAGTGCATCTCCCAATTCTGTCCAATTCTGACTTGTGGGATTGTAACGGGAAGCATGCGAGCACTGCAGGACATCCTGGCTCTCAAGGACTCTCTCTATGCACTGGGACCTCACATTCCCAGAGCGGGATGTCTCATAGGCGCGGCATGTGACACCAGAATTCCAGGTCTGGACCTGGCCCTGTCCTTCGGGCTTCCACGGAAGTCGCTTGAAGCAGCCGTTTTGTGGGGAATGGCACCCCTGAGCAGGCTTAATCGCCCCTGGTACTGCTGCTGTCAATGCGGCGCCAGCCACGGCTGCCCCAGTGGGTACGGCCACAGCCAGTAAACCGCCGAAGCAGGACGATTAATCAGCAACTCTGGGGCGGACTTGTTTCGCACCTTTCATTGCCCCGGAGTTAGAAAGTGGCTGCTGTCATGTCAACTTTGCCGTGGCTTGTCCAGCTTTTCGGCTCCAGACTAGGTATCGAGCCCGAATTTAGCAAACCTGACTTTCAGGGATCCATCATTCGACGTCGGGCCCTCGTCCGTGACGAAAAACAGCATGCAAAAAGCCTTCGTGCCAAGTTTTGGATGTTTCACTCTCGACGTGCATGTCCCGCCTATGTTGGTCGAGGGATGACTCCAAGGCAAGGGTGTTTGAACTGAGTTCAGGTCCCAGTCGCAGGCAGTGCATAAGCAACAGCAATCCTCGGAGGTGTACCTTGCCATCGGGAAGGGGTGCTATGGCTTCTCTGTCGACACGGCCCTGGCGTCCGGGCTACGAGTTGCAAGGATCCGGGCGAGGCTTCTCAAGACTCTTCAGGTAGCATGTATGATACCCTAAGCATAGGGTGGCCTCTTCGGTTTAGGGACTTGCAGACTCGGCAGCTCTGACCTGCTTTTTTGGCTCCTCCCAAAGAGTTTCGGTTGGTACGCAGTGCCTTCAGCTGCCACCCGAACCTCTTCGACACAACCTGCCTAAAAATGCGATGTATTGACCTTCGGGGTCTCTGGCATGCCATGCCAACGTTCGCGCTCAGGTCAGTCACCTTTGGAGCTACGAGGGTTTTGCTGAGGACGGCTGAGAGACGGACTGCCAATTTCTGGGATCTTGACCTGGATAGATTCCCCCCTCTCTGCACAAGGACACTCGCGTGGTGGTAGAAGGTTCCCATGGCTTCCTGGCAGTGTCTTCGGGACGAAGCATTCATATTCTGGACGCCAATTCCCCCGCGAAGCCACGCGTTTCCTGGCCAGACGCCCACCAGGAGCGGAGCCACACAGCTGTTGGCAAGCTGACAAGCACTGAGAGGTGGTTGAGGGTGTGCCTTGAAGAAAGGACACGATCTACTCTATGCATTTCAACTACGAGACGGGTATCATCTTTAGCTCTGGCAAGGCCGAGTGGAGCCCTTTTTTGGATGGTGTCGGGAGGTGAGGGGAGTTGAATGTGTGAATTCGCCGCCCTGGAAAGGACTGTTGCGTCAAAGCTTGGGAGATCGATGGTGAGGAACTCTCCCTGTATGGCTCCTGCCCGGAAGCGCACAGAGACTTTGTCGTGGCCCTGCAGTTTCACTCCAGCAGCAGGAGGGGTGCACAGGGCAAGACCAATCCTGACTGTGCAATCTTGGGCCTAATTTCCCGATAGAGTCTGGCGGACATCGGTCTTCTGCATTTCTACGCGCTTTCTCTGCTCTGTGTCAGGCTTCTCATCTCTGCAGGGCTAGATGGTCTTGTTCGCGCATGGCGCATCGCAAGCACGGGTGCGTTCGCACTGCTTGCTACATCTGCCGATGCCCATCCAGACGGTATAACAGCTCTGTGCAGCTTGGGGGTTTTGAGCACAATTTCTCTATTAGTTCCTGTGGCTCTGTTTGTTCTGACCTTCGTACAACGTGGTCTGCAGTGGCACTCCCTGACTGGGTGCTCACTTCATCCTGCCTGGCACAGGACGTAGTAGGAGCGCTAGGGTTTGCTTTCCGCCTGACCTTTGGATCTGAAGGTACAAACATGGCCCAGAATGTGATGGTTAGCTCTGGCAGGGATGGGAACCTTCGGCTGTGGAGCTATAGACCTGGTCGACTTCGCCTTATCGATAGCCAGGCTTCAGAGGGCAGCGAGGTGAAGGGTCATCTGGTCCGGAGATGTAAGCTGGGGAAGCTTTTTGTGGCAGTGTCCGTGGTTGGCCACGAGTTTCCGCATGTTGGCATTGACAGGTGGACGTGCATGCAGGCTGGGCAAGATGCCTGGAATTCGATGAAGCGTCTGGCCTTGTGGTTAGCGCTGGGGATGATGGAGCTCCTGGGATGCAAGGCTCCATGAGCAGCTCATGCCCGTGGAGCATGTGCATTCGGTTTCACACGGGATGCAGGCAGCCTTTTGTTGGGGATTCTCTTGGAGTCTCGTTCGGCCAAGGCCATCAAAGCGTTCGGCTTCAAGGACCTGAGCCTCGAAACTGCTGCCAGATCTTCAATAGCCCATGGAACTGCTCAAGGGTCGACGTTTCTTAACGTGTACTTGGGCACGACGCATGCTGCACATTGCGGGAATCACCTGCGCCCTTCCATACCCTGCCGTTTCACTCGATGGCTGCTGCTGTCAATTGTTTTGCCCATTGCTACCGCTCCTGAACCCAGCCGCAGAAAGTCCGAGTCGCTTGGCACTTGCGGCAGAGATTGGCACCAACATGCATCGAGAGGGAAAAAATCCCCAGCTTTGTAGCTTACCCTTGAGCTAGTGAGGTTTGAGTGCTTCCTCAAGCCGTGTTCGTAGAAGTGCCTGCTTGGCTTGGAACTTAACGGAAAACGAATGCGGCCTGAAACATGCGATCAAGTCGTCTTGCTTTTTGATGCAACGTCCTGGTGTCTTGAGCTGTTGTTTGAAAAAGTTCAACTTTTTCCATCTCGTTCTGACGCCAGAAGCAAGCCTTTGTCTTGTCGTGCAAGGCAGGAGACCCTTTCTTGAATTCAGGGTTACGCGGAAGCTGTATGTGTCCTGTTCAACTGCACTGAAGCGCTGCTGTGCTGTTCCACGAGGATGGCAAGTTCAACTGTCGCATCAGTGCCGCCAATGCGCATGATGCTGGTATCCTTGCACTGCAACTCTGTGCCAAGACGATGTGCCTTGCTTGAGAGTTGAGTTGAGGTTTCGAATATCAGGTGCCACAGCGAACGGCCTGATACCTGAGGTGCTTGCTGAGTGCTGATGAGAATGGCGCAATCAAGATGTGGGAGCTGTCTGCTGGTGCCGGCGAGCTTGTGCTCAAGGCCTCCAAGAGGGCAACTCTCGCTTCTACCTTCTTTTACGAGTGCTCGCGTGTAAGCTCAGCAGAGGTCACAGCCTGGGTTTTGGACGAAGAACATGTGTAGAGTATGTCTCGTGCAGGCCAGCATCGAAAAGGCTCACGATGGAGGTGCAGTGTCGCACATGCAGTTTTGCTCGCAGCGTCGCCAGGCTCACACGGTTGTCTTCGTACAGAGTGGTTCGACATAGCTGAGGGAAGAAAAGGAGCAAGCCGACACGTCGCATTGCAGCTCAGGTAAGTTGCTCCTAAGTGCTGGTTCAGATAATTGCCTCCGGGCATGGCTCTGGCATCCGGATGGTCTACAAGCTGTGGCCTCCGCAGCAGCGGAAGGCCAACTAGTTGAAGCAACCCGACAAAGGCTCCGAACTGCCCTGCGCAGGAGCACAGGCTCCAAAGTTATCGCGAAAGTTGGCCCTACTGCTGAAGCCACCTGTGCTGTTGCCGCTGCCGCTGCTAGTATTGGTACAAACAGTACAAAGTACTTTGTACACGTAACAGGACCAGTGCTGGCAGTACTTGTATGTGTACAAACTACTTGTGCTGCTATTACTACTGCCACCACCACCACCACCACGACTACTACTACTACTACTACTACTAATAAAATTACTACTACTACTACTACTACTACCACCACCACCACCACCACCACCACCACCACCACCACCACCACCCCCACCACAACCACCACTACTGGTCGTGTATCACACCTTGAGCTATTTGACATCCCCGCGACCTTTCTTGGTCCTGTTGCTGGGTACTGTAGAGTTGACTTGTACGCTCGAGGCTTAACTCACTTGCGGGAGCCACAAACCACCACTACCACGACCACGACCACGACCACGACCACGACCACGACCACGACCACGACCACGACCATTGCCGCCACCACCACCACCACCACCACCAACACCACCACCACCACCACCACCACTACTAGTACCAGTAGTACTAGTACTAGTACTAGTACCAGTACTAGTACTAGTAGTAGTACTAGTACTAGTACTACTACTAGTACTACTACTAGTACTACTACTACTACTACTACTACTACTACTTCTACTACCGCCAC